AAAATCTTTACCAAAAAAAAAGAGTATCTTTGTCAATCAATTCTTAAAATGCTAGTAGATTTCAATTTCTTTTTAAATTTTTTATATGGAAAATAAATGTAGAGAGAAATTTTAATAGTTTTATTCCCAAGCTTTGGCATTTCCTATTTTGCAGACCATTTTATTAAACTGTTGACCCTGATTATTATGTTAGACTAAGTTAGTTTTTCAAGTTTACCTGAAAGAAATCAAGGAGAACTGAAAAAAACAGTCATTTTGAACAGCGACTTTGAAAGTTAGGTAAGAGTCTAAAATTTCTTGGGATGGAACATGGTAAAGAGGGAAGTGGCATCCCTCATCTGGTTAACAGATGCTTATTGTGCAGAATAACATTCACTATTCTTTGAATTCCTGATACCTAGAAACAAAAAAGCTTCTTCAGCTTTCAAGAATCTCATAGTCTTTGGGATTTATGGGAAGGTATTTGGCTCCTAATTGGGGGGAGGGAGTAGGGATAAAGACACACACACACACACACACACACACACAGGAGTGGGGGGCCGGGGTGGGGGAGATAGGACAGGAACAGAGACAGAAAGAAACTGCATTTGTCCATGTTTTCCTTGGAAATTTACTTCCAATCACCAGATTCATACACTTCCCGTAGAGTTCCTGCTGTTGACTATAGCCAGATCACACATTCTCTCTCTCTCTCAAAAAAATTTATGAAAATGTTTCAGACACACAGAAATTATAAAGGATTGCATAACAATCACCTATGTACCCACTGCCCAGTTTATGCAATGAAGCAGGCTGCCTCTTGTGTTCCCTTCCAATCACATTCTCCTCTTTTCCCTGGTCCCTTCTCTGGATGAAATCGCTATCCTAAGATTTTTCTAGATCGTTCCCATGACTTTCTGGCAGTTTATTACATATGTACATATTCCTGCTTAGTACCATTTTGCATCTTTTTGAACTATGTATATATGCATATTTATTGCATAGAAATACATTGCATTTCTTATTTCTATATAAGAAATTGTGAGCTTAATCCATGTAAATAAGCATGACTCTAATTTCACGCATTTTCACTGCTGTATGGTGTGCAGTTATATGAATGTGCTAGTTATTAAGCTGTTGTCACTCAGCTCCAACCCCACGCTTCTCCATTCTTGATGGTGGGCTTGGACTAGGCATACCTGTTTCTCCTTTGCCTCCTGGCTCCCTATTAGACTCTGCCGATAGGGGGCACTAGAGGAATACAGAAGGTTGGAAGAGAGGCGCCAGGACTTTCTGTTTGCTCATCTGTCACAATTGTTCCATCCACCCAGGGGCTGTAGTTTGTTCGGGTAGCAGAAGCCTCTAATTTTCAGTTTGTTCCCATTCTCTACCAGCACCAGCCATTGCCTCCTCCAGAGATTAGAGTCCTAGCTCCCTGGGGATCCGCCTCTCGGGATCTGGCTCTCAGCTCCACAGGCTCCTCTGGAAAGCTTCCAACCCCTCACCGCCTCTCTTCCCTCTGGTCACAAACACAGGAGTGGTAGCTGTTTTCTGCAGTTCTCTTTGCTACCCAAGGGTTCCTTTCATGTCCTTCATTCATCAAATACCTCTTTAACCAAATCCCTATGTTAAATTCTCTTAAAATAATTGGTGTAGATTCTGGTTGCATCTTGTCTGGTACATTGGTGAAAACAATATTCATGTGTCCTTTCTCCTATTGATGAATATGGTGAGCATATTGCCCTGAAATCTTGGGTAAACTCCATGATGTAGTAACAAACAATGTGGGGGGGGGGCAGTGGTGGTTCCAGGCGTCCTGTCAGGGCCTCTCCCCCAGCCAATGGTAAAAAAGCAAAAGGCCCATTGTCTGACTTCCTCTGACTTGCCATATTCTTCACGTCACAGGGACTGTGGGGACCATGAACTTTGGATGCACATCTGTGAGAACACAAGCTTTGTGGCCACATGCAAGCAGGTGTTTATATGATTTCTTAGGAATGAGCTGAACCAAGAAGCAACATTAGGTGATTCTGAGTCATCATTTTCAACAGTCTTTATCCTTGGACCTTTTTCTGTGGTTTAGCTTGTTCAACAGATGCTTAGGTTTTCTAATTTTTGGTTATTTATTTATTACAATTATTATTACTGTTAATTCCTAGTATAAATAAAGTTTTTCTGAACATCCTTGTATATGTCTCTTTGATCTTAAGTCAAAGAACTTTTTGGATGCCTACTATATGTCAGGCGGCCTTGTGCTGGATGGTGATAATGAATAGCACAAAAATTCTGTTTCTTCAGGATCTCAGTCTAGAAGACAGAGCTTCACTATCAGTACCATCATTCATTACCATAGTAATCCAATTTGAACACACAAATCCAATTTGCCTCACACTGTGCTAAGCATTTTCAAGCATCTCATTTAACACTGCAATAAAGGTCATAGAATGAAATGCTGTGATCAATATAAGGGCCAGGAATGGGTCCATTTTACCTTGGAAGACAACAAAGATCTGAGGGGCCAGCTGGGTAAATCAGTCAGGGCATTCTAGGTAGACTTAGTCATGCGTACAAAGACATGGAAGAATAGCATGCTATAAAAAGAGTACAACATATTGGAGGGGTGGTGGGAAGGAGAAGAGTAAAGGAGGAAGAGGAAGGAGAAACAATAAAAATAGGAGGCAAGGGCGGGATCATTGAAGCACAAAGGAAGTCTAGACGTTATCCTGAAACTAACAAAAAGATGCGTTGAAGAATTTTAGAGTGTAATATTATGATGAATCAAAGAGTTTTAAAAAATAACTTTGATAGTGGTTTGGAAGATAGAGTAGATGGGAGTAGAAAGGGAAATTCTAAATGCAGCGTGGCCAGATAGAGACAATTTTCCTCAGGATACTGATGGCAGAATAGCCGCTGGGGATATGCCTGGAGAACACCAAGGAAACCAACACAACTGGAGCCACATGAACATGGGGGAAATTACCAGGAGTTGATGTTAGAAGTAACAGGAGGCTGGATCATAGTGAGGCTTCTAGGCATTGCAAGAACTTGGCTTTTTACTCTGAGTGAAGTGGGATGCCATTGAAAGATTTTGAGCAGAGTAGTGACACAGTTTCATATTTTAATAGGATCATTCTGATTCCTGTTGAGCAAAAGTAGAAGTAGTGGTACCAAAACCAGGTAGGAGGGTAATGGAATAATCCAGGCCAGAGATGATGGTGGCTTGGACCAGGATTGCGGTAGCAAAAGGTCTCCTGATTGAACATGTGTAGAGGGAGAGACAAAGAGAAAAATAAGTATAACTCCAAGGGCTTTGGCCTGAAAAATTAGAGGACTAAAAGCCATTAACTGAGATCTGAAATCCAGGTTGTAGAAGAACTTGAACAATGTCAGCCTTTCCCAAATTTCAGTTAATCATGTCATTATGTCATGATCTTCGTGATTTTTGCATTAACCATACACTATTTATTACTTGTTTGGTATTCTTTTGAGATAGATGGACATCTTTAATGTTGCCTCATCCTAAACTCTACTATTTATGGGTTTATGAATCATAAATTTTCTTCCTTTTTAAAAAGATTTTATTCATTTGAGAGTGTACAAGAGAGAGAGAGCTTGAGCAGGAGGAGGGGGAGGGGCAGAGGGAGAAGCAGATTCCTCATTGAGCAGGGAGGCCAATGCGGGACTCGATCCTAGGACCCCAGGATCATAACCTGAGCCAAAGGCCGACACTTAACTGACTGAGTCACCCAGGCACCCTCCCCTTTTTAAAGATTTTATTTATGAGTCATAAAGTTTCTAATAAGCATGGTCGTCTATAACTATTTTTTAAAATATTTTATTTATTTATTTTAGAGAGAGAGAGAGAGACAGAGACAGAGAGCAAGCAGGGAGAGGAGCAGAGGGAGAGAGAAAAGCAGACTCAGTGCTGAGCGCGAGCCCAACTTGGGGCTCCATCTCATGATGAGGAGGTCAAGACCTGAGCCAAAATCAAGAGTTGGATGTTTAACCGACTGAGCCACCCAGGAGCCTCAATCTGTAACTATTAAAAGTATTTATCTGTATATCTTGCAAAATCAACTTGCTTACCTCTCATGAAGCATGGACCACATTTGTAGAATTAGTGTTTTAAACAATAGAAAATCACTGACTCTATTGGAGTCTAAGTGACATAATAGGAGCTGGACTTCAGAGAAAATTCATTTGATGGCCATGGGTGGAATGATCAACTTTGGCCATTGTGGCAGGTAGGGAGATAAATTTAAAGCAGAATCTGGCTTAGCATAATAAATCAGAAGAGGAAGAGACATTTAAAAGAAACTTTATGATGAATTAGATGTGGGAGCAAAGGGAGAAGAAAATGTCATTATTGACCATGTTATAATCTGTGTTTTACAGCGTGGCCAGTTAAAGTTCCTACATCTCAGACTATTTGACAGTCTTTCCAGGAGAAACCAGCAACTGTGGTTCCTGCTGAAATCCTCTTATAATGCAAAAGTTGAGGGCCACTGGTCACGAACCAGTGAACACAATCATAAGCATGTATATCTATTCTCCCTTGGCATCTTGTGAGCTCTGTTACAACTGGAGCTTGCCTTACAGTCTGTTCTGTGTCTGTTATAGCCACATACATATGTTCTCAACACATCGTTGGTATGGTGCTGCCTTCTAGAAGAGTTGAGTATTGGCTCTATTAATGGAAACATCGAACTACCAGGAAAACATATTTTATTTAAAAAAAAAAAAAGAGTCCAAGAGTTTTTTGGATTGGGGTGGACTCATCTGATCAGCTCATTAATTTCACTTTGAGCGTTGAATGAACCTCTGAGCCAGTGTCAACAACAACACTGCACACCTGAGTCAATCTAAATATGTACTTTCAGCTGTCCATTTCCTCGTTCAACATCCCTTCTTAATGTGCTGTGTAATGCATTTGTGGTAGCAAGCAGGGCTTTACCATAAAAGTTTCTCCGGTGATGCCAGCTATGAGGATCTGAGTGTATCGAAGATTTCTAATTTTAGCTATGATTATGTCATATTTTCCAAAATATGTGGCAATATTTGCCCTCTTTGTCCCGAGTGTTGGTGCACTGGACACTTTTATCGCTGCGGTCTATGAACATGCTGTTATATTACGTAACAGAACAGAAACACCTGTGCCAAAAGAAGAAGCTTTGCTCCTGATGAACAAGAACATAGATGTTTTGGAGAAAGCAGTTAAACTGGCTGCCAGGCAGGTATTGCCCCCCCCTTTTTTTTAATGCTGGCTGAGTTATTGTAAAGGAAATTTGAAACTTGGAAAGAGTGTGGGTATTTGGAATTTATAAAAAACTTTTTTTGCTGCCACTGGTTTTGAGCAGGGTGCACATATCACCGTTACCTCAGAAGATGGAATTTATGGCTGGGTCTTCACAAGAGAGACCATTGACCCCTATCTGGAAGATAGCCCAGACCCTGACATGAACTGGATTCCATGTAGAGATCCCCAGAGGTAATGTCATTACCCTTTGAATTTTGAACATAAAATTGTGATACTCTAAAATACAAATAGCAAATCCATTAAGCTTGACTAGTATTCTTGCTGGCAATCGATCTATGGCTCTGGACTTACAAGCCTCATAATACAGACCATCTGCCATGACTTGAAATGATGATGCCTGGTTGGTTATTTTTTGTGGTCTTCTTTAATGAATGGCATGTGTATAGAGTTTTTATAATTAATGGGCTTAATTGGGTTTCAACAAAGTGAAAAAGTTGTAATACCTGGGGCCTCTGTTCCCAAATAAAGGAAGTTCATCCAGGAACACCTGCCTTCTTTGCACGAATGGTAAAAAGATAAATGAACTTATGTTTCCAAAAGAGCTTTGACATCACTGTCATTTGGAATGTGATCAGTATGGGAATGGAAAGTGTGTGGGACTTGAAAAAGGAAGCATTGTTTCTGAGATCACAACCTACCACTTCTTAGCTGAGTGATGTGTGGCAGGTAACCTGTACACTTGACATCTCTGTTTCTTTATCCATAAAACAGAGATAATAAAATCTACTGTCGTACTTCCTTTACAGAGTAGACAAGAGTGTCAAGGGAAGTAATACACGTAGAATCTCAACACTGTTGTGTCTCTAATGTTAGCTGTCACTATTACCTTTTTTTTTTTAACAAAAAGAACTGGATCTGAACTTCTTTGTTTTCTTGTCAGAGAAATGTTAGTAGTTATCAATAGCTGCAGTTTAAGCATGATTTTCTTAGGGAAAATCTGTAAAAAACATAAAAAAGATATATGAAGTTATTCTAGGTGTATTTACTTTTTAAAATAGTTCATATGTAATTCCTTTAAAAGGCAAAATCTGCGCATTAAAAAGTAATTTAATTTGCTAATTTAAAATGTACATGCATCTGTTCAGAACTATATCTGTTGCACAAAAAAAAGGGATGTCTTTAGTAATTTTGACATTTGAAATTGATAGGGCAGTCAAATCCGATGCTGCAACATAGGAGCTCTACTATGTGAGTCAGTCACATAGTAGACTGACTATGTGATTTTTTTTTTAAAGATTTTATTTATTTATCTGAAAGAGAGAAAGAATGAGAGAGAGCACATGAGAGGGGGGAGGGTCAGAAGGAGAAGCAGACTCTCTGCTGAGCAGGCAGCCCGATGTGGGACTCGATCCCAGGACTCCAGGATCATGACCTGAGCCAGAGGCAGTCACTTAACCAGCTGAGCCCCCCAGGTGCCCTATGTGAGTCAGTCTTGTCAAGGATTTTCACCTTTGAAAAAATATTCTCTGAGTGTTGCATGGTCTGTGTTTACAGTAACCACACAACTATAATCCAATGTTTACTTGATTATGGGTTTTTTTTTTTTTTTCTAGAGCAGGAAGGACTCATTATTTGCAATGATTCAAGAGGCTGATACTAAAATTCACTCTGTTTGCCTGGGCTGATAAAACTGATTTTCCTAGGGGAAAGATGTCCCAAAGCCTGATAATTAATCTCAGATGAATTATTTTAAGTTGGGAAGGTAGGTGACCAATGAAACTTTAACTTATTGGAGTCTTGCAGACATTTATTCAAATGGTAAGTTTTCAGCTCTGAGTTATAAAAGAAGAAATCCAATATTTAATATAATGGCAATATTGGTTAAAAAAAAGCCACCATTTCTTCCCTACTAATATTTATCTCTAAGGGGGATAATAGAGAGGGCCACATGGCCATCCCTACGTATTTAAATACTATCATTTAGAATATTGACACGTCTGAGCTTTACCCATGAGGAACTAACAGAAGATATTAGAATACTTAATTATTTATCAAAAAGAAAGAAAGGAAGGAGGAAGGAAGGATGGAAGGAAGGAAAGAAGGAAGGAAGGAAAAAGAAAAAGAAAATACGTGATAGTTTTATTGAAGATCTTAATGAATAACAATGTTAACAATATTGCCCTGTTTTTCCTGAGGGGGGGAAGAAAAAAGAAATGGTTTGCAGCAATAGTCATAAATCTGTCCTTTCTGTTCAAAGATTAGCTCAACATCAACTGTAGAGGAGCTGAGAAATGATGGAGAGAACCCAATGGCTTTTTTTTTTTTAATGTTATGTTAATCACCATACATAACATCATTAGTTTTTGATGTAGTGTTCCATGATTCATTGTTTGCATATAACACCCAGTGCTCCATCCAGCATGCGCCCTCCCCAATACCCACCACCAGGCCAACCCATCCCCCCACCCCCCTCCCCTCTAGAACCCTCAGTTTGTTTCTCAGAGTCCATAGTCTCTCATGGCTCGTCTC